ATGTTCTCTGGTAATCAGTCCGTACAGTCATTATTTAACCCACAGACAATGCATGGCAGCAAAGCCTAAATTTTCAGTTTTGAGTAGGTGGTGAGCTCTGTGAGCTGACCCTGCTGAGGGCAGGCAGAAGCCAGGGAGAGTCTCTGCAGACAAGGGATAGAGACACACTTTATCTTCTAATGAGAAAGAGAATTCAACAAATCTGACCCACCACTGAAGCTACAAATAAGGAAAATCATCAGAATGCATCCAAAATTACAGCTATGGGCTGCACACAGAGGGAACAGGAAAGCTTGTAAGATATCTTTAAACTCCATCAAAACTACAACGCCAACAGGCATCAGCTTCATCTCTTTTTTGGGGAATGCTTCAACAACAAATATATGCATAAAGACAAGAGTAAGTCAAACCGCTTTGCACTGCAGGGAGGTTCCTTTATTTTTACTCTCACTCCAGACAGTGACAAATACAAAGGTGAGAGAGAAAGAGGTAAGCAGCTCCCAACTAGGCTGCAGTGCACGTGCTCTTGGAGCTCCGTTTCCTGATGTGAACTACAGCACATCCCTGTGATCCTAGCTGGAGACACAAACACATCCCCAAAGGATGCAATCCAGAGATACTATTTGACACCAAGCAACAACATAAATGTGGTCAGAACAGCAAGACAGAGCAATCCACATCTCTGCAATAACATGGTTAAATTCTAGTACATTCCAATAGTTTTATTTCAGCATCCAGGAACAACGTTGCCATAAAGCATCAACATGCCATTGCTTCGTACAGTTGTATTTGTACTCCCACTGAAGTTTCTCAAAGCAGATGAGATCTAAATTAAACTAAATTTGCTAAAATAAGATAAATTTGATGACATGAAAATGATTATATATTAAAGGTAGACATTCCCTACTTCTGCTTAAACAAAGCAGATGGGGCATCCCACTTTGAGACAGAAAGAAAACACAGGGGAAAGGAGGAAGCATCCCTAATCATTCTCAATTCATATTTCTTCAAGAGCAAAAGGTCTCAGTGACTTTTAGGTCTGACCCCATGGCAAAAAAAAAAAAAAAGCAACAAACCAAAACATACCTACTTAATCAGAACTTGAATACTGACCAAAAGAGCAAAGTGAACTACTTCTAATTTTTTATATAATTGGTTCTGTTATTGCAAACCTTGTGCATCTGCCTAGCTTTAAACATGTTACTATTAACACGTGAAAAAGAAAAATTTTAATTTGAGGATCTGGATAGACTAGGAAGTTGCTGGGAAATTAAGTTTACCTGTAAAATCAGCCTAGATTTTACACTGTAGACCACCAAAGCTCACTTTAATTCAATCTCCTTTGCATAAAACACTAATGGGACTCCAAGCATCCTGTCACTTGAGAGCACAAGCCATGTTTCCCTGTGTGGCAAAAGCTGATGTTCAGACTCTCCGGCAGGGAAGTTTGGGTATGAACACATTTTGCAAATATGTGTAATTTCTTATCTGCAGGTGAGGTTTGGTGCTAGGAGTACAGGGTCAGGAATTCCCCATCCAAATACAAGCTCAGTCAAAACCTTGCCAAGTTATTTGCGCTACCTCTCACTTCTTTTTAACATTATCATTGATAGCCAGATTTCTGTGGTTGTATAAGATTAAAATGGCAGTGTTAAACTAACCTTAGATACACAAAAATACAAAAAACTTTGGTTATTGCTAAAACTTAAGTATATTTTAAAATTACAAAAAAGCCAACAGTGAGCTAGGCATGAGAGCACATACCTTTGCAAATCCATGCCAGTTCAGTCATGCTCCAAAGCAGCACCATACAGGTGTCATAATGGCATCAATCAGGAACTCCCAGCACAGTTAAAATCCAACAACAACTTGCTCCGTAAAAGATGGGGTGTATGATGAACAATCCCTATGGCAACTTAGCCAAATGATTTTCAGGATCCATTTCACAGCAAGGAAAACAGACAAGAAAATATGATTTTTTTTTTCAAGGTCAGGCAGCATCAGAGGCTGACCTAGATTTCCAGAGGTCTCCCTTAAACCACAGCTGAAATTCAAAAATTTTCTGTCACCTAAAACTCTGGGCATAAATTCTGGCAGTTGCCTCCAAACCTCCTCCAGAGCAGGCAACTCAGCCTTCCTTTTCAGAGCACAGGTAATTGGAAACACACTTACTACCAGTGATTGGAAATAATTACCAGGTGAGATTACTTCATACAGAGAGCCTTGTACTCTTAGCAAGCCCAAATCCAGCCAGCACAAAGATTTTGTAGTTCAGTGATGGCAATATTCTACCTCTGATGCAAATCAATACATTATATAATTAACACCCAAGTTATTGCTGTGCGCTCCACTGGTTTTGTGTGTTCCCCTTGGAGTGAATCTCTCACCCTTTTTGATGCTAAAGCAGTCAAAAAAAAAAAAAAATGCTGTGAGTTATCTTCTAAGAAAATGGGGCACCTCTCCTCACAAATAGGGTGCCATATGGATTCCCTTCATGAATAGGGGATTTCCTTTTAAAGTCACAGAACTCTTTCAGCATTCAATGACTGGTGCTGGTGCTGCTCAGGTTCTTATTGTGATTTGTACCCACCCCAGGGACAGAGAGGCCCGTGTACCACCAGCTTCTTCCCTTGTTTTTCACCCCTCATTACCAATCTGTGTAAATCAGATGCACAGCATCCGCTGGTTAATAAACAAACTCCCACTTTGATTGCACTTTCAGTTTCCAAGTGCAGAGCTGACTTAACAACGAAGAACAAATGTGTTTGGGGTTTCGGTGCCCTTGCAAGATTGTTCACAAATATGTGATTCATATCCCATCCTGGACATTAACACTTTTCTTATGACTCACACATACAGTAAAACAATAAAACAGAAAGTTTATTGAGGTTTTGTTTAACATGTATAAAGCACCTAGTATTAATATTTTTCAATTTAATTGTTTAACAATTTGCCAATCCTATTATTAGCTGCAAAGAGGGGATGTTTCCACTTCTGTCTCAAAATAAATAGATGCTTTTGAATTTACTCTGATTTATATTTAGAATCTTTCAGCTACAGTTCAGAACATAAATAATAAAAAGCCATTAAGCACTGTAGGAAGCAGGGTATGTACCTTAGTAACTTGCCCACAAAACATTATTTGAATGGGTAGAAGGCAACTGCCCTGTGTTTCTCATTCTATAGAGCATGATGCCTGCAACATACTGATCAACACACCATTTCCTCGCATTGTTTCCCCCTCCAAAGTGAAGGATAAACCAGAAAATTTGTCCTTCCTCACACAATAGAGCCTCTAGGTCTTCTATCTGGTCCCTAAATGTTAGGATGTTCACTGCAATACAATTCCCGGATAAATTGTAATGAGCAACTGGCAAATCTGAAACCCCTTAAGAGTTCAAGTTCAGTTAAAAAAACCCTGAAGGGTTATTTTTAAAACCTTATCCTTCACTAGTCAGTATTATTTTAAAGCATGTAAAATCATGATCATTGGGCCATATTTGCAGTTTCACTGCAAAATAAAACAGCTCCATGCCCACACACAAGAACCGTGGAAGTGCTAAGCAGTGTTTGTAAGAATCATACTGTAATGTAGATATATATTCAGGCAAAATATAAAATTTTGATCCCCAGTTTCAGCCTGCAGGACAGTTTCTTATTTTGGGACATGTATGTCTGTTGCCTACATGGTACTGGAGTGTGTATTCTGTTGCCTACATGCTGCTTTCAAACCAGTTTCACGAACTTGCTCCTATCTTCATGCAAGCTATTTCTAAACAACAGAAGTAAGTGTTCCACTGCAGACAAAGCTTTTCAGTTTGCTCCATTGAGCTTTTCCAGGGGGTAAATTCTTCTAAAATACTAGAGAACAAATTCAGGAAACACACTGATGACACAGGACCATGTTCTGCAGATGTTGTTCTTGTCAGTAACCCATCAAGGGATGAGTAAGAACCTCCTGGGCTCCATCCTAACCCTGCTGAAGTTACTCACAAAATAGTCACCCTCTAGGTGTGAGGCTGGCCCTAAATTCAGAGGCTGGCTCTGCCTTGAGAATGCTTTCAACTCCACCCACTAATCTGTGCAATTTCCAACTCTTCCTGACTCTGTGCTCCTCACTGGTGGCAGTCCTGGTCTTGGACATGTTGTCTTCAGCAGCTGACCTCAGCACCTCCTGCTGCAGAGGCAGGAACAGAGATTTGCTGGTGTTGACAAAGCTCTGCTGCCCTCCCAGCTGTGGATGCTATTTCAGGATGGCTGAGCAAGGACAGGGAAGATGGGGGGGTACTCAAAAGCAGACACTAGGACCAGTCATTGCCCCCACATGGCTAATAATTAAATCCCCGAAAATTACATTTTTGGTAAAATAATGTTAACACCTTATCCCTGCCTCACCAGCAGAGAATAAATAGAAAATCCTTCCCTAGGGATGAAGCAATATCCCTAGTTTCCCCCTCAGGTTTCCACAGACATAAAGGGAAAGGGTATAGTGCCCATGCTTCTCCTGCTTCTTCAGGAACTCAAGTACCACCTCCACTTGGGAAGGATCCTCACTGCCCTGGCAGCTGGGCATGTTCCCATTATCCCTCATTAATGGCTACATCCTTATTAGAGCAATGTCCAAGAGCCTCACCTGTGAAGGATTCTCTGGGAATAGGTGCCTCAAGCAGCAGCAGTGCTCCCAAAAGACCTACCACACATAGACTAGATGTAGATGCCAACTTAGGGTGATGCCATGTACCTCTTTCCTGGCTGGAAAGACACCTGAGGGTACTGGAGAGCCACCTGAGGGTCCCTCAGGATCAGCCAGGGGTGAGCAGCCAGGGATTGACACAGCTGGGCATGGTGGGCAGCATTCCTACTCAGCACCATGGCTCTGCAGACAAAACGCTTCCATGCATTCCTCCATTCCAGAGTGCCTCAGAAAACAGAAGCCAGTTGCAAGTTTCACCGTGCAGCTCTTATCTCAGCACCAGATGACCAAAAAAACCAAAGGGAAATATGAGCAGGGGAAGCAACTCTCCATGTTTTTGTGCACCGCTTGTTGCTAGGAAAAATATTTCCTTAGTATCTCTGTGGGCTCTGCAAGTCAGCATCAGTGGAGCTCTGCTTGTTGCCAGAGAGCATAAAACAGCAAATATCAGGAAAAAAATAGGAATAAGAAGTAAAGCTTTAAGAATGTTTGTGAATGTCTGTCCCCTCATATGGTCATCGAGGAGACTCAGAGACACACGCGCCTCCAATCTTTCCTGGAACAAACTTGAGAGCGTCTTCCCAAGGTATTTTGTCTAAGTCCTACTCTTTTTTTCCTATGGGTTTATTTTTTTTGTCTTTTGATTTTTTTGTGGGTTTTATTTTTGGTTTAGCTTTTTTTTTTTTTTTTTGTAGGGGGGAGGGTTTTGTTTGTTTTTTTTTTGAAGGTTGAAGGAAGCAGTTATTCGTGTTAGGGC